CCTGAATATCATTCAAGGAAACCACTACGGAATCATCAACCACACTTCTACAGTTGAGAGACATGAAATGTGTTGTGAATTTAGCCAAGTTCGGTGGGTAGATCCAAACGATACACAACCTTTCCCACCCGAGAGACAATCTTGAATGCCCTAATGAATTTGGGGCCTAACTTGCCCCTTTCGAAACTGGATGGAACCTTTCAAAGGATACACCTTCAGAAGCACAAGATCCCCCACCTAAAACTCGAGGTCGGAACAACGTTGGTAGTGTAACTCTTATGCCTGCTATGCGCGGTCTGCAACCTATCCCGCACCTGTTGGATCAACTCTGTGGTTTTGAGCACCACTTCAGTGCTCCCTATCACTCACTGACTGACCTCACCCCAGCAAATCAGAGTTCGAAATTTCCTCCATAAAGCAGCTCAAAGGGATGCATATTAATGCTAGCGTGGTAACTCTTGTTGTACAAGAACTCCGCTAGAAAAAGATAAGTATCCCAGCTCCCATCAAAATCTAACACATAGGCACGTAGTATAACCTCAAGTGTCTGAATGGTCCGCTCACTCTAACCATCAGTTTTCGGGTGAAAAGTGGTACTAAAAAGCAATCTAGTACCCAACTCCTTATGAAACTTCTTCCAAAACCTGGAAGTAAATTGAAGTCGCGGCCAAAAACAATTGAATCCGACACTCTAGTCGTGCAACCACATCCTTGATGTATATCTCAACTAACTTCTCCGAGGATGAACTCTCCTTAATCAGGATGAAGTGGGTGCGCTTGGTCAAACAGTCAACAGTAATCCATATAGAATTAACCCCGTACACTGTCCTTGGCAATTTTGTGATGAAATCCATAGTAATCTCTTGCCATTTCCACATGGTAATGGGTAACAGTTGCATCTTGTTGTGCGTTCTCTGATGTTCGTTCTTGACTTTCCGACAAGCTAAGCACCTCTCTATGTACTACACTATCTCCCTCTTCATACATCTTCGTGGCCCCTAGGTGGATCGAAAACTTCGAATTGTGAGCTTCCTCCAATAAAATCTTCCTAACCCCACCAGAAGTAGGAACCTATACCCTACCGCACTGAGCCTATTTTTCTTTTCCTGGCTTTAAAACAGTCCCAGAAAAGCTTTTGAGTTCAACCTCCATGCCCCCTAAACCCTAAATCTCGACCCTTAGCCTCCATTGTTGTGTCTTTGATCCCTTGAGAAGAAGTTGGTGATTATTTTTCTCATTTTGATGGGATCGAAGAAGATTGAAGGTGCATTACTTAGCGTGAAGCTTAGAGATCCAGAATCATCACTCATTTTGCAAGTCGTTTGAGCTTGGGATTTGTCGGACCAACAACCAGAGATTTTATCAGTGTGATTCAGCAGTTCGAGGTGAGATTTTCCTCACCATGTTTAGTCGGTCTAAGGCACCAATGCCGACCCAAGATCATATATGCTAGAATACTAGATGTTTGTGTGACTCTTGTATGTGTATGTGTTTGTATGCTTATTGGGTGGGGCCCAATGGTTATTATGTATCCTATGGTCAGTTATGCTTATATGATTTGTATGTGAGCGGGACTCGTTAAGCGAGTTTAGGTAGGGCCCGTTATACTCTTTGGGTGGGACCCGTTATGTGAATGTGGGCAGGGCCCGTTATACTCTTCGGACGGGGCCCATTATGTTTTTATTATGTTTCGTATGTGGTATTTTGGAGAACTCACTAAGCTTTATGCTTATGGTTTTCAGTTTATGTTACATGTACTTCAAGTTCCAAAGAGAATTGCTCGGGATGATTACAGAGTACACAACACCTCGTTCCACATTTTCTTGATTTACTCTGATTTGATGTGATGATTGATACATTTGTTTATTATGATTTGTATGATGATGTTTTTAGGATACTGATTTTATTAATTTAAAAATGAATTTTTTAGGTCTTATTTTTGGGACATTACAAGTTGGTAGCAAAACCTTGGTTTGATGGATTCAGATATACTCTAGGGTGTGTCTGAAAAATATAGACTTATAAAATTGCATTATAAGTCTATTTTTCATATATAAAATACATATATGTCATATATGAAAAATAGACTTGTAAATGTGTTATATATATATATATATATATATATATATATATATATATATATATATATATATATATATATATAGGGTTAAGCTCAAGTGAGAACACTATTTTATGTTACTATTCGATATGACATTATTCGTCAACAAATATATGAACAATCACACATTAATATTCACATTAAAATTTTGTATGTACAACTTTATGAAATAATTTATCACCGAATATATGAACGATTACATATTTAACATTCACATTAGAATTTACTAAATTACTACACACACACACACACACACACACACACATATATATATATATATATATATATATATATATATATATATATATATATATATATATATATATATATATATATATATATATAGTAGAATAGCAATATAAAATTGAATATATTCATATT